GGGCCTTTGTACGGCCTGGAATGCTCTTCCCCAGGTGGCTGCATGGCTCGGCCCCTTGCCCCCTAGGTCTTTGTTCCAATGTTCTCTTTTCAGGGAGGTGTATGCTGCCCACCTCTCCCAACACTCATAAACTGAATTCTCCCCCATAAACACTTGACTTCTCCCCATCGTTTGCATCCCCGTCTGACACACTTGGACTCCTTTTTTGTTATTATTCTTTTTGTACAGATGGGAGGGTCTCGCTCTGTTGCCCAGGCTGGTCCTGAACTCCTGGTCTCGCATGACCCTCCTGCCTTGGTCTCTCAAAGCACTGAGATTACAGGTGGGAGCCACCATGCCCAGCCCTTTCTTACTCTTGACTGATTTTCTTTCCTCACTAGAATATAGGAAACATGGCTCTAAGAGGGGCCATGTGCATGATCTGTGGAGTCTGGGAGACCTAGTTTCAAATCCCAGCCTTACCACTCTTCATGTGTGCAACCTTGAAGTTGGGTGAGGGAGTCTCTCTCGGGGACCCCATTTCCATTTCAGCCAGGGTCACAGTGGGAGGCTCTCATCGAGGCTGAGGTCAATGCAGGTAAAGGTGCTTTTTGTCAACTGGGAAGAGTGGATGGGTTTGTAGAGTTTGCCCTTTATTCTAGGAAGGAGGCTGGTTATGCCTGCAATTTTAGCACTTTGGAGGCCGAGGCGGGCAGATTATGAGGTCAGGAGTTCGAGACCAGCGTGGCCAACATGGTGGAACCCCATCTCTACTAAAAACACAAAAATTAGCTGGGCATGGTGGTGGGCACCTGTAGTCCCAGCTATTCTGGAGGCCGAGGTAGGAGAATCGCTTGAACCCAGGTGGCAGAGGTTGCAGTGAGCCGAGATCATACCACTGCACTCCAGCTTGGGTGACGGAGTGAGGCTTTGTGTCAAAAAAAGAAAGAAAGGAAAAAATGCATGAAGCAGATGAAAACTTTCTGTCCCTGCGTGCTCCATGCAGATGCTCCATGGGGTTGAAGTTCAATATTTCTTGTGGAACATCATCTCTCATCTCTCATGATTCTCTACAGAACTGAGGCTTCCAGGGTGCCTTGCATTCTAGCCAGCCATGTTCCAGGGAGCAGGGAGCTCCTTGAACCAGAAGTCCTGAGATTGAGTCCTGGGACTGCAACCCTGTAACTGCACCAGACCAATCTGATTCAACTTTTATGTAACGAAGTTGTGAGTTGTTTTCAGTTGCCATGGACCTCCAGGTTCAGGTTCACACAACCTGGGCATGCCCAGATACACCAAGCATGCAGCCAGGGACAGAACCTAAGTGCTAGGGCCAGGAAGTGGGGACTAAATTAAGAAGTGGACACTGCATGATCCAGGATCCAATCAGATTGAGCCCTGGCCTCACCCAATGGCAGGATCCAATCAGATCACACCTCCTGACATCACCTGATGGGAAGAGCCAATCAGATATTACCCTATGCTTATAAAACCTGACCTAGCCTTCAGCTGGGAGACAAATTTGAGTGTTTCCTTCTGTCTCTTTGCCATTGAACTCACAATAAACCCTTCTCGCTGCAAAAACTCAGTGCCTTGGTGTTTGGCTTTCTGCTGCATGTGGGCAATAGACCCAGTTGGGTTCAGTGACTGAGCTAGTTGGCAGGGAGCTTAGCACGAGATGCAGTGCTCAGGACTCCACTCAGTGAGTTCCCTGGGAATGCATCCTTCATTGTCGGATTTTCCAGGGAGGAAACTGAAGCTCACTGTGATGAAGGGGAGACCCATGGTCACAGCTGGTGGGTGGAGGAGTGAGATCCAACCCAGGCGTGTGGCACCAAAACGTTCTTGCTAGAACCATGACAACAGCGTCAACAACAACAAATAACAGTGACTGGGTGTGTGCCCTGTGCCAGGCATTGTTCTGAATGCTCCATGGGAACCACCCTGACCACCCCATGAGGGGAGTGCCCTTTCAGAGCTCATCTTGCAAATGAGAAAACTGAGGCTAGCAAGCAGTCATATGGGCATGGGGACCCAGGAGGCCTGCCTGTAGGAGCTGAGAGCTCACCACTGCACCACGCTGTTTAGTGGGCCAATCTGTCCTCTGACCCCAGCTGACAGGCTTCCCTAGGTTCTGGCGGTGAGAGGTATGTTGGTTTCTATGATGTGTAACAAATTATCACAAACCTAGTGGCTTCCACAACACCCATTCATGATCTGTTTTAATGGATCACGAGTCTGGTGCGTTCTAGCCAGTCCTCTGCCCAGCGCCTGAGAAGGCTGCAGTCAAGGTGGTGGTTGGGCTGCATTCTTATCTGGAGGCTCAACTGGGAAAAATCCGCTTTCAAGCTCCCTCTGGTTGATGGCAGGATTCATTTCCCTGCAGCTATAGGACTGAGGTCCCTGTTTTCTGGCCAGCTGTTAGCTGAGATTGCTGTCACTTTGTGGAGACCACTCACAGGTCCTTACCACATGATCCCTCCTGGGGCCCTTTCTCACTTCCAATCTCTGACTTCAAGAAAGACTCAATTCCTTTTAAGAGCTCACCTGCTTAAGCCACGCCAACCCAGACCATCTCCCTTTTGAGGAACCCCAAGTCAACTAAGTAGTGATTTTCTCATGGCATGATATGCCACCGTATCTACACTCCTGCCGACACTGCAGGGAAGGGGGTTACACAGGGAGTCCACATCAGGGGCCGGGATTCTGCGCCATCTTAGAATTCTGCCTCCCACAAGGGACAGGGTTTTTTCTGTGCTGTGAGGGAAGACCAGGGCTGTCTCTGGAAGGATTCCCAGCCACACTGCCTCAGAAAGAAAAGTCAGCAAGAGGGATGGGCTCCGTTCCAAAGCCTTACCTCAGCCAGCTTTGGGAATTTCTCCAAGCCTTGGGCACTGTGTTCGATAATCAAGTGTGGATTCAGCTCCTGTGTGGCTGTAACCTTTGCATACTGGAAGAGAGCATACTGCTAAGGACTCTTTCTGTCGTGAGTGATACAAAACCAGACTCAACTGGCTTAAGAAAAATGATTTGTATGTAACTGAAATCATCTAGGCCCTGGGTGGCTTCAGGCACAGCTGGATCCAGGGGCTTAAATGCTGCCATCAGGACTTGGTTTTTTGCTATCTCTGACTCTGCCATCTTCTTTAGTAGGCCCCTGGCAGCCCAGAGCTTACCTCCTCCTGCCTCCCCTTCCTGTAGAAAGTCTGATTCTTTCTTCCCAACAGTGGCACAGAATTAACTCCTATTGGACTGATGTGAGTCATGTTCCCATCCCTAAGCCAATCAGTGAGGCCTGAGGGATGAAATCATCTGACTGGCCAGGACTGAGTCACAAGGCCACTTGGGCTTTGAGAGTGGGGTTTTCTCTGCCCAGACTGCAGGGATTCAAGTTGTGGTAGGGGGTCCTCTCAGAAAATCCTGAGTGCTGTTCCCAAAATATGTGGCAGTGCGCACTGGGGGTGGGGAGTGTGGCAGAAACAACATTTGGTGAGAGAATGGATGGTGTAAGGACCTAAGCACCTCCCCATCCCACACCATCCAGGGGCACCTGAGGGGATTATGAAGCCAGTGGGGCTGTGGGGGAGGGAGTTAGTAGCTGCTCCCCGAGGTGGGTGAATAAGAGGGAGGGGCAGCAGGAATGCAATGGTCCTGGGGGAAGAGGGAGACTTCCCAAGACTGGGAAGTGGGGGAGAGGTGTCTGCCTGTGAAGACCATCTTCCCGGGGCACTGCCTTCCAGGGACACCGGCCTCCCCCAGTGTCAGGGACTCCAGGTATTGTCAAGTTCTCCAGCCCCAGCTCAGCCAGAGGCTGCAGATTTGCCCTGTCTGGGGGGTCACCAGCCTCTGATAGTGAGCACTTAAAGGTGGGCAGTAAGGACTGAAGACCAGAAGACACCTGAATGTTCTGCCTAGGGCAGGACCCTGAGTCTCTACATCAACTGGGGGCGGTGGGGCAGGACTGGCTGTGTGATTTGTAAGGCCCAGTGCAGAATGAAAATGTGGAGCCTCTGGTTCAGAACCAAGGAGGATTTCGAGGCAGCAGAGCCTTACAGCCAGGTGGCACTCAGCGCTCAGGGCCTGTGGGGCTGCCCAGCACTTCCCTGGGCGAAATCAAGTTTCATTTGACTTAGAAAAACAGAGTCAGGTAATGCCTCCTGCCCTCCCTGGGGTGTCCTTTTTACCCCGGGCACTTCTCCTGGGCCCCTGCCATCCTGGCTCTGAGGTGAGGGAGACACTTGCAACCTTGCTGACCTGGCCGGGAGGAGCCCAAAGCCATCACATCAGACGGATGAACCTGAGTGGGACGTGAACCTGGGTTCAGACACTGCTGTTGCTGCCGGTCAGCAGCTGTTCACCCGTGGAGCAGCATCGGGTGGGCACCGTGACTGTTAGGAGAGCTTCTGCATGGCGTGGGTGTACTTTATGCAGGGTGTGGCCCCTCTGTAATTGCTCTGCAATCTGGACTCCCTGTGTTGGGGGCTGGCTTGGTGTGAGGTGAGGACTTAACCCCCGCCCTAGGCTCCCTCCTGCCACCCGCCTCCCCGCCACCAGCCCTGGCTGCCTCCCTGCTGGAGGGACACTGGAGGTGGCAGTGTCCCTTTGCTTTGTGCTGGGGGGACCTGCCACCTCCCTCTCCCCTGTGTGAAGGCGTCACATGGGTCCCCAGGTGTAATCGGGCAGGAGCCTTCCCCAATGCAATTCCCTGAGTCTGGCCTGGGGCCTGTCCTCCTGGCCTCCATGGGCCAGAGGTGTCCCAGGGTTGTCCTGGCAATGTCCCCTGAACCGCAGGGTCCTTCCACTGCTGGGTTCCATCCTGCAGCATGGTTAATGGGCGTGTAGATGGCCCGAAGTGCCCAGCTGCTGCCCAGAGCAGAGTGGACATGGCCTGCCTGGGAGGTCGTTCTCTTCTGGGGCTGTGGGATGCAGAGAAGTGCCCTGGGGAGCGGCTGACAGTGTGCTGGCCACAGGCCACTGACTGCTTTATCTCCTGTAGCTGCCTGGTGACAGCTTGACTTTTTCCAGAGCTCCTCCCACTGCCCTTCTTGATAATGGGGTGGGTCATTCTGACTTCTTGATTGATTTGCACTTAGACCAAAGAGGAACCCCGGGAGAGGCCAGAGGAGCCAGGCTCCTGGGGTGAAGGCATCTGTTGAAAGCTGTTTCTGGGTTGCACTGTCTGAAAGCCAAGCAATCCCTGAGCGAGGCTGGCTTTGTGAGCATGTGATTTGGGTTGTGATTTAGACACCTGCACTCCGGAAGGACCCCACATGCCAAAGGACCCCATGCTCCAGAGGACTTCAGGATTGGTTTAATGCGCCACTGGTCCCTGCCTCCAAATTGTTAATACCCTTGAACAAGGGCCTTTCATTTTCATTTTGCACTGGGCCCTGCAAATTACACAGCTGGTCCTGGCCCTGAGCTGCCCCTGCCCCTGAGCTGCCTGCACCATGGCTTCTTACCAACAATTTGGGAATGGCTGTTTTCTCCTGAGTGATGCCCTTTGTCATGGCTGCTTGGAGTAGTTCATTCCTTCTGGTTCCGAGTCAGTCCTGAACCAGGCTGCAGAACCCAGAACCTCCTGGTCTACAAAGGACAGCAGTTCCTCCTGAGGAGGCAGGGAGAGGACAGGGTATGCTGGGTCTGCATCCTCCTCCTTCCCCAGACAGCGTAAGCCCCGGAGTGGCTGGGATGGGAGGGCGGCCATCCTCAGGGGCCCCTCGGTGGGGGCCACATGTGGTTAGTGCCGGGAGCTGGCCTGGGCCTTGGCATACATCCCCTCCTAGCCTCCCTGCGGGTGGAGGGACTGACTGTGCCAGGGTTCCCAGGGCTGGGTTCTGAGAGAGCTTTTTAAAGCCACTTCCTGGGCCGGAAAGAGGACACCAATTAAGTGCCTGGCTGAGGCCTGAGACCCAAATGGCCTTGAGTCCAATCTTTCACTTAAAGTCCAATTTCCAAGGACCTGTCAAAGATGGTAAGTGAGGGCTGACTGCACTTGACTTTTGGGAGAGAAGAGAGGGAGGCATGAGAGGGAGAGAGAGGAAGGGTTTTTACCCCATGGAGGGGTAAGTCCTGGCCCAAATCCTAGCTCTGCTCTGGCTGTGACTCTGGCCTTGGCATCCTCCTCTTGAAAGTGGGGCTACTGATGGTGCTTGCCCGATGGGGTGGTGTGAGGGGGCACAGGGCCTGTGCCCGCGGAAGCTTAGACCCTGAGGTTTCTCTGTTTCTTGAAATATAGCCAAGCTGGGATCTTTGCAGAGATCCCTCTATTTGGGACTCCTTCCAAAGGACACACCTTCCAACACTGGAAGAACCTTTCAAAGAACTCCCCAAAGGTGAGGAAAAAACACACACCACATTTTAGTTACAGAGAAGTGGGATTCGGGGAAGAAGCCGGAAAGGAAGTTTCCATTTTTTGCTTTCTACACTCAGCTATCTCTGAGCGCCCTGCGGCTCCTTGAGCACTTCAGGGTTGGCCTTGAACTTCAAAGACAGTCAGAAGGCAGTAAAGAGAATCCTCATCTGTGCCTCACTCAGCTTGAATTTCCCACAATGTTATCCTCCTGCTCGATGACCAGGATACATTTGTTTGGCCTAAGAAACCAACATTGCTACATTACGACTCACTCAGTTCCGGGCTTGGCCGGAGTTGTCCAGCTTTTCCCTAATGTTCCCTTCCTGTTACAGGGGCCTGTCCAGGATGCCGCGTCCCACTCAATCATCTCGTCTCCTTAGGCTGCTCTCGTCTGTGACAGTTTCTTACCATTCCTTGCTTTTGATGAACTTGACCGTTTTGGGGAGCACAGCTCAGACGTGTTGGGAAATGCCCTTCAATCCGAGTATGTCTGATGTTTCCATCACGGTTAGACCAGGATGATGGGTTTCTGTCACATGGTTTCAGTAGAGGGTACATGAGGCCCACATAGCCTTGTTTTTACTTTTAGTAAATTCTGGAAATGTCAATGATCCTGCATATTTCTTATGGGATGTGCGCATGTGTCTCACCATCATGTGTGTTAAGATGTTAACACCACATTAGGCTGCAATCCGTCTCACTCAATCTCAGAGTCGGGGCAGTCCCCATGCCCAAGGGACCCCTGCGGTTAAGTCTGAGGGAGGGTGATGGGGATTGGTTATGGGATGGTCCCTTGGAACCTGTGAATGTGACCTTATTTGTCTTTGCAAATGTAGTTTAGGATCTCAAGATGAAGTCCCCCTGGATTAATGTGGGCCCCAAGTCCAATGACAGGTGTTCTTAGAAGAGAGGAGAAGGAGAGGCACAGGAGAAGCCCATGTGAAGTCTCAGGCAGAGATGGGGCACTGGGGTCACAAGCCAGGGACACTTGGAGTCCCCAGAAGCTGGCAGAGACCAGGAGGGATCGTCCCCTAGTGCCTCTGGAGGGAGCGTGACTCTGTCCACACTTCACTGTGGACTCCTGACCTGCAGAACTGTAAGAGAATAAGTTTCAAGCAACCCTTTTTGTGGGGATTTGTTACAGTAGACACAGGAAGCTAATACAGGCACCATAAATTGGTATTATTATGATTGCTATTCCACCTGTCCTTCAGCTGAAAGGCACACCCTGTCTCGGCTGGGCGTAGCACTGCCGGGCCGTGTGCAAACTCCCCGTGACCATCAACACCACGATGTTAACATCTTCCTGCACTCAGCGTTCTCCGGCTCTGCTGGCCGCCTTCCTTCAGGTCTGTCCTCAGTGGGTGTAGCACCCCTGTTGCTACCTCCCTTGCTACATGGTCTCTGAGGAAACTTTTCGGACATCCTGCAAGCTGCCTTGACCAATTTCCTTGCTGAAATCAAACCTCGTCACAAATATGGAATCACACAGCTGCCTGATTTCCTGGAGGTTGTACGTCCCCCACTGGGCATTTAGAAAATCATCAGGCTCAGCTGGGCATGGTGGCTGCCTGTAATCCCAGCATTTTGGGAGGCCAAAGCGGGCAGATCACGAGGTCAGAAGTTCAAGACCAACCTGGCCAACCATGGTGAAACCCCATCTCTACTAAAAACACAAAAAATTAGCCAGGCATGGTGGCAGGTGCCTGTAATCCCAGCTACTTGAGAGGCTGAAGCAAGAGAATCATTTGAACATGGGAGGCGGAAGTTGCAGTGTGTAGAGACTGTGCCACTGCACGCCAGCCTGGGAGACAGTGCAAGACTCAAGAAAGAAACAAAGAAAAAGAAAGAAAGAGAGAAGGAAGGAAGGAAGGAAGAAAGCAAGGAAAGAAGAAAGGAAGGAGGGAGGGAGGGAAGGAAGGAAGAAGGGAGGGAGAGAGGGAGGGAGGAAGGGAAGGAAGGAAGAAGGGAGGGAGAGAGGGAGGGAGGGACGGAGGGAGGGAGGGAGGGAAAGAAACAAGAAAGCAAGAAGGAAAGAAAAAAAGAAAACCATCAGGCTGAAGTGGGGGAGGCTGGCAGGCACTTTGGTGTGTGTCCTGGGAACTAAGTCCTGGGGACTTACTAGGCACAGCCCCCAGTTCACACAGGCAGAAGAAACCAGAGGGTACAAAAGAATGTTTTGCGTCTTTTGGGGGGAATTTGTCTAAAAGTGAGGGAGATGCTAGTGGGGAAGAGACCAGGGTAAAGAATGTATTCTGAAGGCGACAGCTGCCGCGAAGCTCGCTCCACTGAGTGCTGGGCAATGACCTTGAGCCAACCACTGACCTTCAGTGAGCAAGCCACGCCGCCTCCTCAAGCCACGCCGTCTCCCCAAGCCTCACTCTGTTCATCTGCAGAAGGGGATAATGATGGTACTGACAGCACAGGGCTGTTGGGAAGTGCAAGCGAGAGGATGCTGACATTTGATGGAGCACTGTATGTCAGTGCTGTCCCACAGCTTCTGCTGAAACTGTGCAGTCACTCTGGGCACGAAGGGAAGGCAGCCTCGCGCACCCGCTCTGGCTCACTTGCGGTACTACAGGGGACACCTCCTAGGACTACCATTGGCATAGTTTGGGGTGAAATCGCCCCGACCAGGCACTAACTCTCCTGGAAGAACCTAACACTTTCCAATCCAGAGAGAAACTTGGCAGAGCCCGACTCCTTCCTGCTGCCCACCAGCCCTTTGGGTTCTGAAGAGTAGGCAGCAGAGGCTGAAGTGTCCCGAGTTGGCCACACCAGCTCCTTATCTCTCCAGTGCCCACGGCCAAGTCCTCTGCTGTGTCTTTTCATTGGGTTCCTTGTGCCCAGGCCCCCACGGTCTGGATCTCCCTTCCTCTTGGCCCAGATCTGCCAAAGCCCATGTTCCCATCTCCTAAATGGCACAGGGTTGCCATGAGGATTGTGTTCCAGCAGTCCTTCTTTGCTTGCTTGGGGTGTGGACATGGGAAGGGTGCTGCTGGCATGAGTGACTAGTCCCCTGCTGCTACCCAGGCCAGACAAGAACTTCCCTGGCCCACCTGGCCAGGTGAGAATAATGGATGGCAGCTGCTCATTAGGTAATGTGTGGGATCTCCATACTGGCCAGGTCTGGGGAGCTTTCCAGCTGTCTCACTGAGCGCCATCGGCTGGGTCCACCCTGCCCGCTTCAGCAATCGCTTCATCCAAGTCTTTTGCTCTGAAGAACTCTGCCTCAACATCTTCCTGGATTTCTCAGCCCATCCTGATCCTCTTATTCCTCAAACCCAGTTCAGGACTCACCTTCAGTGACCTAGCCCAGCACCTGGCAGGTTTTTCTGCATCTTCGCAGCTTCCATGGCATTGATTTGAACTTGCCTTTGCTTCCCTGCTGACAATAACAAGTAATTTTTTTTTTTGAAACTCTGTCTCAAAAGTCTCGCTCTGTAGCCAGGCACCAGGCTGGAGTGCAGTGGCGGGATCTCAGCTCACTGCAACCTCTGCCTCCCGTGTTCAAGCAATTCTCCTGCTTCAGCCTCCTGAGTAGCTGGGACTACAGGAGCATGCCACCACACACAGCTAGTTTTTGTATTTTTAAGTAGAGACAGGGTTTCACCATGTTGGCCAGGATGGTCTCGATCTCTTGACCTCGTGATCCACCCACCTAGGCCTCCCAAAGTGCTGGAATTACAGGTGTAAGCCACTGCGCCTGGCCTGTTTTTTTTTTTTTTTTTTTTTGAGATGGAGTCTCAGGCTGGAGTGCAATGACCCAGTCTCAGCTCACTGCAACCTCCACCTCCCGGGTTCAAGTGATTCTCCTGACTCAGCCTCCCAAGGAGCTGGGACTACAGGCATGTGCCACCTTGCCTGGCTAATTTTTGTATTTTTAGTAAATACGGGGTTTCACCATGTTAACCAGGCTGGTCTCGAACTCCTGACCTTGTGATCTGCCTGTCTCAGCCTCCCAAAGTACAGGTATTACAGGCATAAGCCACAGTGCCCAACCAATAACAAGTATTTTTAAAACCCCCAAGATGCTTCTGTGTATATTATTTAATCCTCACACTATCCCTGCCAGGTGGTGGTATGAGTGACTGACCCCATTTCATGAGGTCCCCAGAGCTTAGGCTTTCGCCCAGAGCCATGCAGCCAGCAAGGGGCAGCAGTGGGGTTCTGACCCAGTGCAGTGGTCATTCAGAGCCTGGGTTTCTTTCTGGCGTCCTTTCTAGAGCCTTTCTAGAGCCCTTCAAGCAGGGAAGGGGCGATGTAAGGTGAGTGAGGCCCTTCCCTCCGCACAGAAAGCTGAGTCATTAAGATAAATACTATTTTCATGCAAAATTGATGCAAAAAATCCATGATATACAAAATATCAAAATGTTCAAATAAAGCCAGGCTGCAACCCTGCCCTTGTACTGCACTGCCTCACTTGCTCTCCCTGCGCCCAGCCCTGGCTCCAGCAAAACATTATTTACAATCACAGATGACCAGCCTTTGGCTGTCGTTCAACCATGTGAATTTTCATATAGAAGGTTACAGGTATGTGCTCTTTCCCCACCACCTGCACCCCACATTTTTGCTATGACAACTTTCAAGCACGTGAAAAAAGAGGAAAGAGGAGAGAAACGCCTGTTGTGTCTGTCCTTTTTATCCCCCACCCTGGATAGTAAGGTGTAGTGCCTTGGACTCATGCTGTTCCAGGCGGGGGCCTTGGAGTGCAGCGGTTGAATACTTGGTACCAAGGTGGTGTTTCTGGTTGACCCTGACCCTACGGGTCAGATTCCGAACTTTTGTTTTTTTTTATTGTATTTGGGCTCTGGGGTACATGTGCACATCCTGCCTCCTGCAGGATTGTTGCACAGGTACATACACGCTATGGTGGTTTGCTATCTCCATCCCCTTCCCGTTGCCTACATTTGGCATTTCTCCCGGTGTTATCCCTCCCCATCCTCCCTGCCCCACACCGTCCCTCCCCCCCACCCCCCCACCTACCCCAGTGAGTGTTGTTCCCTTCCCTGTGCCCAAGTGTTCTCATTGTTTGTCACCTGCCTATGAGTGAAAGCATGAGGTGTTTGGTTTTCTGTTCTTGTGTCAGTTTGCTGAGAAGGATGGTTTCTAGATTCATCCATGTCTCCACAAAGGACACCAACTTGTAGTTGTTTGTGGCTGCATCCTATTCCATGGTGTATATTTGCCACATTTTCTTGCTGCATCATACTCCATGGTGTGTATGTGCCACATTCTCTTTATAAAGACACGTGCACACGTATGTTTGTTGCGGCGCTGTTTACAATAGCAACGACCTGGAACCAATCCAACACCCATCAATGACAGACTGGACAAAGAAGGCAGGCTCCGCACTTCTAAGATTCCCTGGCATTCTCCAGCACAGTCAGGTATGAGAAGCGTTGGCATGTCTCAGGCTTTGCCAGGAGATGGGACCTGTGTCCACATCCTAGTTCCCGCACGTTTTGAGTGTTCAGCTGGGCGGTGATTGTTAGGTGCTGGTTGGGATTGAGGCTTTTGATTGTGCTGCTAAAACTCATTTAATGCTAAATAACAGCTCAGTGGCTCTCAACCTGTGACTCTGCTCTCCAGGGGATGACTGGCAACGTCCAGAGACATTTTTGGTTGTCAGTCCTGGGGTGGGGCTGGGTGCAGTGGCTGATGCTTAT